TTAATATCACCAAATAAAAAGTTATTTTTATAAGTATCTACATAGTGATGGGGCATTTGAATTTTGCTTTTTTCCTTTATTTACTAGGAATAGAACCTATTAGTAATGTATATGTGACAAGAACAACCCACTGGCAAATTCTACCCAAAATCTGATTTTGCATTAGGAGGAAGTAAATAAAAAAAATTATAAGACAGTAAATCCTCTTAGTTAATGTTAAGTGCTCAAAATAATTATTTCACTCTAAACATAGTGAAAGGAAAGATTCACAGAAAAAAAGAAAACAATGAAATAGACAAGAAGATAACATTTTTGAGTATTCTTCTTCTTTTCTTATACTTACTGTAACTGGTTAGTTCTTAATAAAAACCAGAATATTTTACTCAGTCAAATATTCTATCAGAAACTACTTCTATTTCCTTACCTACATCAGAATCTCAAAATAAAGTATCCATCATTTAATTTTAAGCAGTAAAAAATGATACACGGAATAACTAAAAGAAATAAAAAATGTATATTATTGGTTAGTTACCCTTGTATTTTTCTCTAATTCATGGTTGGCTGATGTTGCAGGAAGTGGAATATGGATATTAACATTAACTGTACAGTTCAAAGATAGCCAGAAAGCAGAAACATCACTTTGGTATTTCCAATCTGCTGGTTTAGCTGAACTCTATAAGAGGAGAAAAAAAACACCACATGCAGGAGATTGTACTTAAAGTGAAAACAATATTAGTAGAAAAAGTGTATTTCTATTAAATAAAACAGGTCTTATTCAGAATATTATGCAGTACTCAAACCTTACCTTTGCATCTTGTACATCATAGGTTCGACAAACTAGTCTTTATTACTTAAGGAAAAATAAAAGCATGTTTCACTGCATTTAAGAAACATATGTAAAAACATATATCTGAACCAACTTGTAGTTGGTGTACCTTCCACATAAGGCTAATTTTTTAATACTGGACAATGCTCTGACAATCTATTGATGAGAATGAAGAAAAACTCAGCTGTAAACTAGAGATGTTCCAGCTTGCTAAATATATATCATATAAATAGTACTGATTGTGATTCTGTACTGAAGGACAAGGCTGATACTTCTTATACTTCTGCACAACCTTGCTTTCTCTTCAGACCTCCTACAGAAAACTTAAAGAGAATGACTGTAAGGTATGTGTTCAACCCAGCCCCCACCTTCCCTTAATATTCCACACTTGTAAAACCCACTTCCCTTTATTTTCTCATTGGCCTATAGCATTCTTGCCACCCATCCTACTGCTTCCCAAACAATCAATTTAAAAAAAAAATTCCTCCAATTGCAAAGTTACCTGTTATTTAGAATTCCACTCTTGTTTTAAACAAAAAACATGAACTGTAACACCTAAATCTGAATGGTGGACTATAAGCATGGCAAGGAGCAACATTGAGCATAGAGCACAATGAAAAAAGTGGAGGTTGAACTGGGAAGAGGCTCTTCGTTCTAGCAACCAGCATGCAATTTATCAGATTGGAACAGTTGTCCCTTCTGAGTCCACCTGGCCCCTCCCAAGGTCTCTTCCAGCTGAAGACTCACTTTTCCATTCATCTCTTATTCCAGTACTCATATAGCTCAGATCTACTCAAACAACAAGTTTCACGCTCCAGAGCTGTGTCAACCAACTGCTGCTGAAGGAAGGTTGTCCAGCCTGCAAGGAGCTCTGGAGTCCACACCTGGCCGATGGAAACCAAATAATTTGGACACCCCTGCTCTAGGTCAAGGGCTATACACATGTACCATTAAAGGATACTTTTTCGTAGTAGAGCAAACCTGAAGAGCCACTCTGTCCAGGACCTCCTCCCCAGCAAAATTCCAAAGCCTCTTTTTAGTCACAGACTTCTGTACTGAAAAAACTAGCTGGGAGGGGGGGAAAAAAAGGGTTATAAGATTTTTCTATGCATTTCAGACAAAGGAGTTAAGGCAAGTTGTTGTATTACTGAAAACAGCCCTGCACTGCAATATGTTGACCTGTTTGGTCTGCAACATCAGACTGCCAGACCAAAGAGCACCCACAACTACAGCCCAGCCCAGACCAACGAGCGA